ACAAAGGGAGCGGGTCAGAAAAACTAGAGAAGTAAATGATGAGACGGGGGAAAAGAGATGAAAAGGATGGTTTTAATAGCCTTGTCTACTAGACTTGCCAAGATAAAACAAGAAGGTTTCTTATTTTTCTCTTTCCTAATATTTTACCTTTTAAAATATAACAGTTTCATTGGGTAATTGGCTGCAGGTTCACACTTTCTGAACTTCCTATTGACATAAATTATGAGTAGAAAAATGTTGAACCAGTATGTGCTAATTTTTGTTACTGAAATGGATTCTAAAGACTTCTCCTTCTCCTTCTCTGTCTCCCTCTCCTTTTCCTTTTAGTCACACAGTATGGAACTTTTGAAACTGCTTGGGATTATGTGAATTATTAATATCATGTAAAAGCCCAGAATGGACTGTCCTCTTCTGTCTATTCCTCTAAGACAGCCTGGTCACTTCTCTAAAAGCTGTCTTGGCTCAGAAACCACCATAAGGCATGTTGTCAAGTCTTTCCCAAGATCTATAATGTATACCAGATCTCCTCTGGAAGATTAACACCTTGCTGATCCTCTCAGAAATAAATATATAAATGCACACATATGCACATACAGACATAAACATACCTCATTTGTTTTGGAAATGTTTATGAAAGAATTTCAATAATAATCTCTAAAAGCTTGATAAGAACTCCCATTGCAGAAGCCACGCTAATACTAAGGTTTGATCTAACATTTATTATATTTAAATGTCATCTTTCTACAAAAAAACATACATGAAAGAAATTAATGTTAAAAAAATCTACATTTAAAAGATTGCACATATGGGTTTTGCTAACTAAACTTGAAAAGTAATTATAGGCTAAACAATACTGCAATTGTTTTAACCACTTCTTTTTTTAAAAAAAAAAAAAGCATTCTGTCAACTTCTTATACTGATAAAGCTGATAATTTTAGCAATAAATGTCCTTTTTGTTAGACAATCTGCTGTTTACATCTTTATCTTAGTTAAAGGCTGTAGGTCAAGGGCAGCAGCCTGGGACCTTCCAGATGTTTAGACCACTGCCCTTTTCTGCCTTTCAGACACAAAGGATTGTGGGAGTCACCAACTCAAACAGCCAGAGGGCTCAAAGTGAACAAGTTTATTCTGTCTTTAAGGCCACATTCAGCTCCTGCAAAGTCCTGAGATTCACCCTCTCAGATACAGATGATTCTGGTGGAACAGAGGGAGAGACAGTGAAGAGCCAACCTGATGTGTGATCATCTATTTCCTTGATTGAATTCCATCATCATTTGAGTCCATTTCTCTTACCCTCCATTCCCATCTTTTTATTTTGCTACCTTATTTAATAATGCAAATTATATTTGTATCTCATGTTAATTATACCTAAGAATTGGGTGTTTTCCACGTTAGAGAAATTTGGTACAGTTTACCACAGTGCACAATATATTTTTTAAAAGCAGGTGTAAGGGCATCATTTTTGGGATGCTCCCCTGGCTATAACAAGCCATTTCCATCCATCAGTCATTATTAATCACTGTTAAATAATTGGATAATTAATGTTTAACCTATTTCTTTCCTAATCTCCACCTTCCAGAGATAGAGGGACAGAGAGAGAACCACTCAATAGCAACTGCATCTCTTTCTTTAAGCTGCATCTCTTTCTTTAAGCTGCACAACTGCAAGCCACTTCAGAGGGATCTATGAATGCTTAGCTCTGATGCTTGGAAAGAACATTTTGAATCCTGCCCATCTCTGTTCTCGTGTATGTCATCTGAAACCAGTGATGTCATCTGTAGTTTCTGTGTCATGACTCCTAGTGTTTGATCAGTCTTTCAAATCAGAGACAGAAGAAAGGTGTTTGTGTAGCACATGTTACATTGCCCCAGTAATGGTTATGAGCTCCATTTACTGCTTTTCCTGCAGATAAATGCCAAAAGTCACATATAAACAACCTGGGTTCTCACATACTATGGATATCCTCAAAGTTATTATCTGCTAAGCCAGTAAGTAAAGTCAAGCTATTAGAATCATTCCACATTTGTTATGTGTTTCACTTTGCTTCCTGTTGTAATTATGAAAAAAGAATTTTTCTGAACAGAGCACAGCCTATATACATGGACATAGGCTGTTATTGTATAGGTTACCACGTGTAGCTATGGAAACCTACAATGGAATGTTTTCCACAATCTCAAATAAGTGAAATCTCAGTTCTACTTTTGTTACCAACATCTGCTCATTTCAGAATCTAAAAGGCTCTACTGTCTTTCATTTTAAAATTTGAAAATTTCATAGCGTGATTCATTGCCATTATTGTACAACCTACTCTCTAGAACTCAAACAATATAGCAAGTGTTCCTTATAAAATTATGTTGCTGTCTAGTAAGAAACCAAATTATGCAGTCGAGACAGATGCAAACAAAATTTATACTAGCAGTCAGAAGAAAGGGTTGGGATATTTTAATGTGATCTTTTGAATTTTATAGTAAAGCTGATGAATTAGTACCACTCACTCTCAATTTATTGCTAAAAAGCAGAATAATATAGATAAGATTAATGCCATAGTTTAGTATAATTTAGTTGTACTTTTAAGCTTCTAATAGATTATAGTTGGGGGGGGGCTGAAATTATACCCCTAGCAGCAATAGCAATGATGTAAGAAAAGTCATAAAGCCAAATCAATTTCCAGTATGAATGATCAAGGTTGAAATGAACAAGAGGGTGTTATTTGGAAAACACTGCTTATATGGACCCATTTCAACTGGGCTTTCAGCCAGCATGTAGAATTGAGACTGAATGTTGGGTGACCTGTATTTAGAAACAAAAGGGAATGGTGTAGCCCTATTAATTCTCCAATATCTCATTGTCACTTCCAAATGCCATTGATCATCCTGGACTACAGTCCACACACATCCCCCTTTCTTTTTTTCCAGTTCCCAGAACATGCAACATTATATTGTCAAAATTTAGCAACAGCGATGTAAAGATGGCATTACTTTATTTGCCAATTTTCTATATTTTTGTAGGAAATGAACAGCAGGTCCATTAATTATTTAAATTGCTTTTTAACTGTAACATGTTTATTAAACATACTTGGGTTTTTTAAAAAAAAAACATTCCAAACCTCCAAAATGGGGAGGAAAACTCAAGTTTAATTTGTGTTCCCTCTAATAATGTTATCACACGACCACAGCATCACAGGAACTTTTGAAAGAGTGAAGCCTTTGGCCTAAAAAAGAATTTCCATCCATAATGTTCAAGAACCATTGGGGCAAATTTTCTAGAGTGTGATGTCACTGAGATGCTAACAACATTTGGCTCTATACTGTTTTGTCATCTAGTTTCATACCACAGTTACAGATTAAGTTTGATAATGGGCTGGATGAGCATAAGCAAGCTTACACTGCATGTAGCTCATGAAGAGATAATGTTGGTCAATAAGAAACCAGACAAGAAACTCTGGTTTTAGCCTATTCTAGATAGAGTTGCACTTCTACTAACACACACACACACACACACACACACACACACACACACACGACAGCATCTCCTGAAGTTCAACTACTTTTGAACTTCCAGAAACTGCCAAGCGGTGTATTTCCATAACTGAATCCGATGATTTCGCTGCAAGCATTAAGAAGCAAGAGGAAGCTAACAACACACTGTATGTCTGTAGCTTAATGACATGATGAGATTAGAGCAATGTGCTTCATTTGAAATAATCCTGCAAGAGAATTCAAAAGTTTCAGCTGATGCTAAACTACTAGCTACCATGTGATCACTGGAATATATTGAAAAATCACAAATAGCTGCCAGTTATTTTCCAGGCACAGTTCTTGTGATGGAATGTGCACCTGCAGCTGCAGAGCAAAGGTTTTTGCCAACTCAGAGCTTTCCCAGAAAGAGGCCCAATTCAAGAGATTTTGCAACCCCGAGCTGATAGAGGAGGGGCAAGAGGATCATGGTGGCCAAACCTTAGAATCTTTGAAGATGTACCTAGTAGCTTAGAAAGTTAGAGCTTTAGTTTGGCAAGATTCTGTCCATTAGGCACAAGCAAGTAAAGGATTGGACTTAATTGGATCTCATTGCCTCTTCTTTGCACTTGACCTGACAGTTCAAGACAATGGTTTAAATCTTTGAAGCTCTACATGATTGGCTTTTCCCATGCTTTTAAAAGAAAGCTTTTAAGCTGAGATTCATATCTTATTACAAATATTATAGATAACTCAGGTGGAATTTCAGATGGCAGATAGGACATGATTACATATGCATATTTGATACTCAGATGGCAGATAGGACATGATTACTCAGATGGCAGATAGGACATGATTACATGTCACTCAGATGGCAGATAGGACATGATACTCAGATGGCAGATAGGACATGATTACATATGCATATTTCTTCTTGACTACCCCTGGCTGTCTCACAGTTCTTCCACATACTCTAGATCATGGGTGTCAAATTCAATCACGACACATGACATATCGTGACATATTGTGATGTTTTTTACTTTTGCGGAGCCACAGTGGACGTGGTCTGCACATGATGTATCTGGCCCGTGGGCTGTCGATTTGACACCCTTGCTCTAGATATATCCAAATTAGGACTATGGAGATCTCATCACCAGCTGGGCACTCTGGCCAAGGTTGTCTGTCTGCCACCCAGTCCGCTGAAGATCTGCTACCAGGTTTTCTGCTATTCCTCAACAAAGTCATCTTTTATAGAGGTTTTTTGAGCAGTAGCAGGTAGCGCCACTAGGACTAGGTGAATAAATGAGAGAAAAGAAAGATTGGATGGAATACTTATCTTGGATAGAAAGAATGGAAGGGGTTCCCCCCCCCCCGGCTCAAATAACAGAAGGGCAAATTAAGTGGGAGGAATAAAGGCAGGAAGAGTAGGCAAAAGTGAAAATTAAAACAAAAAGGGCATTCAGCATTTTGGGCAGGTCTTGTGTGGAGCATTTGTTCATCAAGCAATGAAGTCAAAGTGGTTTGGTGTTTGGGGCTGATCTTTACCTTTCTAAACTCTTTGAAGGATCCAGCTCTCGAATACAGAGGAATGTTGGCCACAGAGAAGCTGTTTGCCCTGTTCTCCATACATATGTTGCTTCCCCATATTCATAATGAATGTCTGAATACATCTAGAAAGAAAAAGAACTGGATGTTCTCTGAAATTCTGAAAATGTAAGTCACACAATCAGCATTTTTAAATTCCTCTTTTCCAAGGAATTAGCTGCATGGAATTTTAAACACTTATTTTGAAAGAAAAAAACAGATGCTTAACTATAATTAGCCTCTTTTCTGCTACAGATTTCTTAGAGAAAGATTGTCAAACTATTATCAAACCATAGGTAGACTCAGATGACCCTTCTTACTTTTGTGATTATCTGGTATGCAGCTAAATTTTGCTAAAAGTTGAAACACTGCAAAGAGATAAGATCCTGGCTGAGTAGTCCAAAATTCTATAAAAATATATAGATGTGAATTGTATGGGATATTTTTTTTTTCTTTCTGCACATGCTTGTCTTATTTTCACACATGCACATTCAAAACTGTCTGTCATCCATACACATGGTGGCATTTCTGACTTATCACACATCCTGCTCACACAATCCCATTTCTGCAATATCTTCAGATGTTCAGAACATAAACTCAGTGCTATTCATGTGAGTAAGATGACTATGACAGTTATTCGCTTATTTTAGAAAAAAAATAATAAAGCATACTGCTGTTTGATTTTTTGACCCCTTTATAAGAATTTACCACATACAGTATTTCAAAAACCAACTTTTTTCTTGTTGTCCACAAAGTTATAATGAAGTGCATGTAAAAACAAGCAGATTTAAATGCCTTTATCAAAAAAACCCACCCCCCAAAATACAGAGAAATCAAATTAATAAACGCTTTTGAAAAATCGTATGACAACCTATTCCAATCTATTCCAATACTGATAAATATTTAAAAAGACAGAAAGGTGCAGAAGTGGTTTGTAATATTATCAGCATTTTGAAAAGATTGTTAACATTAACTGAACTTGTTACTCTATTTGTGAATTTTTACCAGGAAGTTTTGTATTAAATTGTACAATAGAAAAAGACCAAGCTGTGGCTCCCCCTTTCTTTTAGTCCATTTTTTTATTATTATTATTCTCAAGCTCATCTGGAAAAACTATGTTTTCTGTGCCCTCCTAATGACTCAATTAGCTTTATGAGGCTTTTTATGCCATTGGAGCCCAGGCAGATATTGGGAGTGTACAGAGAAGTTGTAAAGTGGAAGACTTTAGAGAATCCTTAATCAAAACTTTTCATAGCAACACTTACAACTAATTTCTGCTCTTTGGCTCTACTTAAGAGTATACTGACAAAGGTGGGGAACAATAGAAAGTTACACTTTAAGAAAATCTGCTGTAATCCAGAATTGCAACTTTACAAGCCAAATTACTAAAGGATGTTTATAAGTTTTCCAGCTGTACATTTTTAAAGAAATCCAAGTAAGAAAATGCTCACCCAAGTATGAAAATGCCGGTGTGTCCCACAAGTACGAGAAAGCCAAAACGATCGAATGATAAGTCAGGAAAACTCAAGCAGAAGCAAGAGATGAAAACAGCCACAAGACAGGGTGAAACCCCTTCTCCAGACACTTGCTTGAAGCTTCTTGAAGACTAAATGCAGGGTATTTTAAAAGAAATGGCTTTCAGTAAAGGCTACATCCTCTTGTCAATCAAACATTGCATAGTTTCTCCTAGGCATGAATCCAAAAAGACGTGGAATCATTCTATTTTTGTCTCCCATTGCAGTGGAAACATTTTTACAGATTTGTGGCAAGGGCTTGAATTTTTAGGGTGGTCAGTTAGAGGAGGAGAAATATAATTAAAAGCTCTGGTAAGGTTAAAACCAGCCCAGGAAAAAAGGACTGAACAGTTTTAAAGAGCAAGATAAGTTTTTTAAAAAAAATGCAAGTTCTTTGCAAGAACCAATAGAAAGAATGGGCTTCATTGCTAAGAAAAAGGTCATAATCTGTTATTGCAGCTATAATCCCAAGATTTATATAACTGTCACATAAATCTTAAATTTCAATTTGTTTAAAATTATATTCTTGACAAATTTACATACACAGTAAGAGATCATGTTATAGGTGAGTCTTTATAAACATTTATATTAAGTTGTCTTTTTCCCCTTAATCTCTGCCTTTAAAACATTAAAACCTTTATGTCTTTGCAATATATTTTGTATGGGAAGAAGGCATTAGGAAACATTCAGAACTAATGAAACAGAATCTGATGAATAGTAGTTTGGCCATTATTATATGTCTAGTGTACTAAATTTCTGAACTTGGAAAGTAAAATGCAAATACGCAGGAATGCTTCTTCCATTGATCTCATCACTATTTATATTCTTATATGGCAGGAAGAGTGATACCTTACTTTATTGGACTGTAATTCCCTGATTCTTTTCTAGTCCTCCAAAATATGTTCACCAACTACATCAAGCTAAAGTTTTCCTGCTGAACATCACTTGACAATTAAAGTCCCAGAAAAAAACAAAAACAAATGCCCATCAAATGTCCTATCCATCTGGGCCGGTGCCAAGTGGCAGGATTTTGGAAGCTCTGATTATCTGTCATAGATCTCTTTCCACTCTTTCATGATGTTTTGTTTACAAGAGGACTCTGCATTTTTCCTGAGTCCTAACAAATACTATGGGACTAATTCCTTACCTCTGCAATAAATAGCTATTATTATAGAAAGCTTATAGATCAATTAGTTTCTCTGCAAACACACTTGACATTGCTTAAAATGAATTTTAAAGTTGACTTACGAATGAAGGCAAATATTTGTATCCCAGGATAATGTTTCAAGATCCGACCTGGGTTGATCACTGGGACCAGTAGAGAGAAGTTCCATGAAGATGGGCTCCAGCATGAATCCAAAAATTCAGAAGAGTAAACCTCTGGTCCCAGTGACTAACCCAGATTGGTTCTTGTAAAGTTCACTTAATATGAAAAAACCAAAACAATTCAAAATAAAATAAATGCATTCTGATCCCTTCACTTATCAACGTATCAAGATATATGTGGATGAGAAATGAAATATGCTCCTCTTTCAATGGTAATTCCAATTCTGTGATAGCATCCACACATCTTACAGTTTTCCTTGATGCCAACGTGTCCATTGCTTGATGATAACAACAGCCCTGGCCTTGTGCTTGTGAATGAAGCTTCATAGAGAAGACAGTGAAAACAAGTATTTCATATACCAGAATAATACTCATTCTGAACTAAAGATCTATGTATGTTACACATGAATTGCACCCATGACTCCTAGGTCTATCACCTAACTTTAAGGGAGGTCATAGATCATCAGTTGTTTCTTTTGACTGATTTTTCTGAAATGATCTGAAACTCAGTCATGAGATTGTGTTGATTATTCGTGGTTCATCCCTTAGCAAATTGGGGTAAACAGACAAAGCAAAGCATCTCTCTTTGTCAAGTTCTAGCAGTGACTGAAAGAGCCTTTGTTTCCTAAGCAGCAGTTGTCTCCATTGACAATTGCAAGTTATGGCCACAATATAGTGCATTTTGGATGAAAAGCAGTATGTGGTTGCTAAGGAACAACAGCCCAGGAAAGTTCTTGTCCTCAAGTCCTGTGTGGTTTTTCCATACATATCTTAGTTGCCAACAGTGGGAAACAAGATACTTTTACTTAATTCAGCGTAGTTATTTCTGTTCTTATTCGCCTTATTTTTTTATATTTACTTTTCTAGGTCTTCTTTGGCTTCTGTTTTGATTCTGCTGAATGCTTTTGCGTTGGGGGAAAAGTTAATTTTCTTTTTTTAGTTCTCATTCCCACTCTTGAATTTATAAAAAAAAATCAGTCTCAAAATGAATTGGTATATGCACATGCCTTATAAACGTTTGTCCATGGATTCTGACATAGATATCCTGCAGCAATGAGAGTTTATTTGCAGGATAATTACATTTTTCTTACTATGGCTTCAGCAAAAAAATAATGTCTCTCTTGGATTTCAAGTTAACAAAAGACTGTCTAGGGCAGAGCAAATGAACACAGTTTGTAAAAAAAAAATAGTACTTTCCATCAACACCAAGCTTGACCCACAATTCATTTTTCCCAACTTTCCACTTATTTCTATGCTGATATTACTTGTCTGACATCCAAGGAAATAACATAATTGAATTATTGCCCTGCTTGTTGGGCCCCATCCTGTCTCCACCAGAACTCCATGCCTACGAATATATACTTGGAAAATAATAAGTATTACTTCTTTTTTTTAATCAGTAATTTAGAGTTTGAAGAAAAGGAAATGCCACCCTTTTTCTTATCATCATTACTGATCCTGTTTTACACCTCAACAACCGAAAGATGGAGAATTACTTAATTGCTCTTCATGCTGTTTCTGTAGAATAACCACCCAATGACCACACTTTACCAATATCCTATATTGGAACAAGACTGTTTATTTCATGTAAACAGCAAACAGGTAAGTCAGACCAGTCAGTTTTTATTGGTGATAGAATACGGCTGGCTACCAACATAATCCTTGCCTTAGAACACTTATAGTCACTCTTTGTCACCCATTTGACCAAATAAGCAATTACTATCCAATTCAAACTTTTTCTTGTAATAAAAAGGCTGAATGTCACTCTGTGCACTGGGAACCCAGAGTTTCATCCAAGATCTGACTAGAGCTTAGGTAGCTTCAGCTCAAGGTAAACCCTAAACCAGTGCAGATATTTTTTTCAGTGTATGTTCTGGTTTTCTGCCCATAGGGCACTTTAGAGAAACTGTTACTTGCTGCAAGTGAAACAGAGTCTCTAACACAGATTGTCTGAACGAAGAAATGTCCAAGAAAATCCAAATCCTGATATGTCACTCCATCCATTTCCAAAGATCTGGTGCCACAGCAGCTATGCTAAAGGGGTTTTTTAATAAATGAATAAATGGTGCTTTGTTAAGTACAATGCTTTGGTGAGAAGAAGGAGGATAAAGAAGGAGAGGAGGGAAAAGTGATATACGGTAGTCAATTCAATCATTAACAGGTTAGCCTTAAATGCAAAGTCTTGTTTGTTTTAAAACACCGTTGATTGCCCCAACCTTTTGAACAAATGGGGATATTAAAAGTTTTCACCATCCCCTGCATTTACTGTTGACACATGGGTCATGATTTGTGTCACAAGTGCTAAAAGTCCGTTCTCGTTTCAATTCATAATTTTGACGAATGCATTTTTCACCCTCATTCCCATTCTGACTTATACAGAGAAAAATGTTGAGATAACTCTGATTAGAATTCATCTATCCATTCACTGAAATCCAAATTTAGCAGAATGTTTTTCTATAAACTGAACACAGCTATTAAATGGATCTAGAAGTTAGATGATTAAGGTTTGAAAGAGCAAGTAAAGTTTACTGAGAAATACCATATATATGCTATAATAGAAAATCTGCATCACTGAGTTTCACTTCTCATGAGGAAGGAAGGAAGGAAGGAAGGAAGGAAGGAAGGAAGGAAGGAAGGAAGGAAGGAAGGAAGGAAGGAAGGAAGGAAGGAAGGAAGATTACATTTCATCTCTTAGGAAGCAAGTTGAAGGGACAAAGTATGTTTTGAAATAATCCTGGTCATAATTCTCCAGTTCATTTACAGAAGTCAGTATTTAGCAAACCGTCTATGGGGAAGCTGAAAAAAGCCCAATGAGACAGAAATTTAAAGTGCAAAACAGATGAAAAAAAGTTAGTATCTCTGAGGTTTCTCTCAAGGAGAGAAAAGGGAAAGGTGGAAGTACTCTATTCTTCTGATAGGAATAGAGACTGACTTTGGATACTACCCTTATTTTCCCCAAACCTTAGGTTAAGAATTTGAATTAATTCCAAGTTAATGTTTAGTGGGAGGAAAAGAATTCACAAGGACTGTTTGGGGAAAATCTCCCAGGTTCTAGATAGAGAGCCCCCCCCCTCTTCTAAATAAAGTTCTGTATTTAACCTGGTAGATCAATGCTAGTTCAACACAGTGGAACTAATCAGTAAAACATAGTGGGTTACATTGCCTCTGAACACTTCACAGCAACTTCTGTAACTGCTTCCTTTGAAGCAACTACTTTCTTTGTTTCTTCGTATTCCACTGGTACTTTTCCTCATAGCTTAACAATTACTGGTCAGACTTTCCCTGTGCACCCATTACAAATCTGGCTTTCACTGGAATGCTATCAGAACTTACATCAGCTATACCCACCAAGACCAAAGTGGTAGTTGAAGATATTAAGTTTCAGAAGCCACTCTGAGTGGGCAAAGGATCAGAAATTCTTGACCATCTGGGCCCTTTTTTTTTACCTCTCACTCTTTGAGCCTTCTCCTTTTCTTTCTCTTAAAAGTAAGATAAAGGGAATCTCTGTAGCAAATACTCCAAACATCCATTGAAGAAAACGCCCAGAAGCCAAGACTCACACACTATATTGAAGAGGTATGGCCCTGCAGCTTTATCTACATTTCTTTTCAAGCATATTCCACAGCATATTTGTTTTTGTAACTTTTGAAACAAGTAAATGATACCACATGTGGAAATTCTAGGTTTCCAGCTTAAAGGCAGACAGGGGCACACCCAATGGTATTTTTTAAGAAGCAAAAAGCCCAGTCTTAAGAAAAAAAGTATAAGTGCTATGTATATAATTAGAGAAGCGAATATAAATGCATCGAACAGAATTTTCTTTTCTTAGCTTAGTAA